TTTGTGTGTTTTTTCAACCAACAATTAGTTTTAACATTAAGTAAGTAAGTGTTTATTTATATAGCACTTTTCACAGATATTTTTGTCACAAAGATGCTTTACAGATCATTATTCAGCATTATTTATTCACTCTATACCTGGTGTTGTTAAGATACTATTGTAGCCACAGCTGCCCTGGGACAGACTGACACACACACACCACTTTCATACTAGGCAATGTGGGTTAAGTGTCTTGCCTAAGGACACAACAACAGTTATTGCCACTGGCGCCTCCTGTGGCACCTGATTTTCCCAGTGTTTCCCATCCAAGAACTAACCAGGCCCGACCTCTGCTGAGCTTCTGAGATCTGACGGGATCAGGCTTTGACAAACTGGTATGGACACGACATTATAGAAATGGGAAAATAAAATAAATGCAAAGTGCTGCTTGGTAATACTAATAAGTTAAATAAAATATTCTCAAATAAGCAACAAATGTATGAAATATTATAAAAAATAAATTCCTTGTAAACAAAACGTTTCAAAAAAGTAAAGCGCAGCACTAACAGTTCTCACATGAAGTTTTACTCAATCTGCACATTTTTGGCCAGAAAAAACAACTCGTCCACATTGTCTGTAGTAAGTGCAGATATGAGGGAGGGGGCAGGGGGAAGTGGAGATTCCGTTCCAATGAAAAGTGAAAGTGAAATGACCATAGTTTTGTGAGGTTTCAGGTGGTTCAGAGGGATGTGGTCAAGGTGGCCGCCCTAACTATAAAGCGCTGCAGGAAACACTGCCCCAGTCACAGACTAGTTCCCTTGTGAATATTAATAATAATAATAATAATAAGAGCCAAGTCTTCATGTAGCTGCACATGTAGTGGTGGAATGTAAACACACACAAATTGCACAAACTCACTCGTGCACAGTCCTGCACCGAACCAAACGTTCCGTACCAAAACGGTTCGGCATGAATACATGTACGATTACACCCCTGAGGATTATGAAACTATTATTTGGGTAATGCAACATTAGACTTTTTATGTTGCCGAAATAGAGGAGAAATATATACTTATTATCTTTTCATAGTAGTAATGTTTCGTAATTTTAGTTTTAAACCTTTGTAAAAATGAACAGAATACGTGAGATTACATATAAAGTTCTTTTTCTGTTTGCGCTGCTGTTAATTTGATAAAGTGGAAGGCTCTGTTCTCCTCAAACTGTCCTAAAAATGGAAAAACAAGAACATTGTGATTTCATTTTTTACTTTGGAATGTCTAAATGAGCATTTTCAATCAAAAGTAAATTTGAAAAAGAAAAAAAAAAAGCCATTGTGGAGTAGACAAGCTCGGCCTGGCACGGGACCATGTAGCAATTTGGTGTCACGATTATCATGGCCAAAATAACTGCGGTTAACTGTTTTATCACAATAATTATGAAAGTTGCAGACAGTTTAAAAACGTTATGCATATGATTACTTTTACTATTATGAATAAATTCCATATTTAAATAGACTATAGAGATTTACTTTGTTATAAGTGAAAAAAAAAATGATCTAAAAGAAAATGTCACGGATAAGTAGTTTTTTTTTTCTGCAGATTCTGATGATAAAATGGTGATTTTCTTTGTTGGCGTTTCTCACGATTATATTAAAAATATCTCATCCTTAGCTGCCGGCGCAGTGTTGAGGAGTAATAGATTACATGTACTGGAATACGTAATCAGAGTACAAATTATGAGTAACTGTATTCAGTTACAGTTACTGTTTCAGTGAGTGGTAATTGGATTACAGTTACTTTGTTGAAATAAATGGATTACATGGCGGCATTTTCCTGTTTACACATTTTGGGCATATTTTTTTTTTTTTTTTTTTCAGTAATTCCACTCATTGCTGGACACTAAACCAGGTCTAATCCAGCTCCAAACCAGGTCTAAACTATGTCTAAACCAGGACTAAACCCAGGTCCAAACCAGGACTAAACCAGGACTAAAACCAGGTCTAAACCAGGTCTAAACCAGGTCTAAACTATGTCTAAACCAGGACTAAACCCACGTCCAAACCCAGGTCCAAACCAGGTCCAAACCAGGTCCAAACCAGGACTAAACCAGGACTAAACCAGGACTAAACCAGGACTAAACCAGGACTAAACCAGGTCTAAACCAGGTCTAAACCAGGTCTAAACCAGCTCCAAACCAGGTCTAAACTATGTCTAAACCAGGACTAAACCCAGGTCCAAACCCAGGTCCAAACCCAGGTCCAAACCAGGTCCAAACCAGGTCTAAACCAGGACTAAACCAGGACTAAACCAGGACTAAACCAGGACTAAACCAGGTCAAAACCCAGGTCCAAACTAGGACTAAACTAGGACTAAACCAGGACTAAACCAGGTCTAAACCAGATCTAAACCAGAACTAAACCAGGTCTAAACCAGATCTAAACCAGGACTAAACCAAGACTAAACCAGGTCTAAATCATGCTGCCTGGACCGTGTCTCCTCTTCTTCTATCAATAATATTTTTAATTTGGTTCAGTAAAGTCTGGACTTTTTATTTTCTTTTAACAGACAAAACATCTTATGTGAAGATTTCCTCGTCTTTGCTTCTCTCCAGCAAATCAAGTAATCCAAAGTATTCAGATTACGTTACTCACTTTAAGTAATTTAATGGATTACGTTACAAACTACATTTTGGGGTCTGTAATCTGTAAACTGTAGGGGAATACATTTTAATATTCACCTTCCCAACACTGGCTGTCGGTTTTATAAAGTGAGAGGTCGTGCTCCAAACTGTTCTAAAACTGGAAAAGGAAAAACATTGTGATTTCATTCTTTATACTGTGTGTGTAAAGAGCGTTTTCAATCAATTGTAAATAGAAAAGAGCCACTGTGGACTAAAACCAAGAAATTATTATAAGTTTTCTGCTCCCTCCTCGTCTCTCTCGCTTTCTGTCTTCTGTACCTCTCCCTCTTTCCCTCTCTCCTTCCTCCTCCCTCTCTTTCTCTTTCTCTTTCTCCCTCTCTCTCGTGCAAACCGTGTGTGGGTTGCTTGGCGTATGCTGATGGCCGATTTGAATAGTGCTGATGCAGCTCTTTCTCCTTCAAACTGTTCCATCTCCACATGTTCGGCTCTCTCTGTGTGTGACCAGTTTGTTACACAATCGCTCCGAGATAGCAAAATGCAAAATTTAACGCATACAGATTCAAATATGCTGCATTCACGGGCTAGAATTTGAAAATGTCAAGGGCAGCGGCCTATGTATTACTGTAAATAAATGGGCCTACGGGGAGATTCAGTGTTTTTTGAAAGATTAACCTTTTGTAATCTCATATTGACAGTCACACCTTGTCTGTTGAATAATGTATGCACTTTTTGAAGCTATAGTGAAAAAAAAATCTGTTTTGTTCTAAAGATTTTGAACTTTATGTCAGTTTTGTTTCATGTGGATTGGCCCAGTATTTACAGAGAACACGTCTGTAATGTGATAGTTAAACAGACTGAATTAATATGTATATAAATATTGTTAATTATTATTATGTAGCTTTATATTATATATCTCTTATGTCTTTTTTTCTTTTAATTACTTTTTGTTTTTTTCCTATGTTCTGTTATATTTTGTTTTCTGAAATTATAAAAGTAAATGGCTTAAAAAAAAACAAAGCAAAACAAACAAAAAAAACAGACTGAGCTCTCCTCCATTTACATCCATTTTGAGTTTTTTTTCCTCCTTTTCCTAGAGTGTTAAAACTATTTAAAAACTTTTTCGGTTGTGTGTGCTTATGTGTATGTGTGTGTGTCTCCATGGTAACTGCTGAAGATTCTGCCATAGACATTTATGTAGAACAGTCCCATCGTGATATCACTGCCAAGAGTTAATTCCTTAGTATCGAAATCAAGTTTGGAATTTTAGTATCATAACTCTAATGTGACCCCAACTTTCTGAAGCTATGGTAAAAAAAAAAAAAAAAACATCTTTTGATCGTTTTGAACTTTATTTTAGTTTTGTTTCATGTGGATAGGCCCAGTTTTTACACATCTGTAATATAAGTATATATATGTATTATTAATTATTATTAGATTTTTTTTTTTATTTCTTTTAATAAACTAGTACTCTTGTTTTTTTGTTTATTATATTTTTGTTTTCTGAAAATTATTAAAATAAATCGCTTTAAAAAAAAAAAAAAAAAAGAAAAGAAAACAGACTGACCCATTTACATCCATTTTGAGTTTTTTTTTTTTTTTTCTTGAGTGTTAACACTATTTTTAAAGTTCTTCATTTGTGCTTGCTTCTGTGTATGCGTTGTGTCTCCATGGTAACTGCTGCATATTCCGCCATAGACATACATGTAGAGCAATCAGTGTGATTCTTAGTATTGAAATCAAGTTTGAAATTTTAATATCATAATTCTAATGTGAACCCAACTTATTAAAGGTGCACTATGTAACTTTTTGGTTGGGGCTCGGTCACCTGCTTGTTTCTATGGAGATGCCATTGTTGTGCTTGGAATGTTCCACAGTGTGACATTAAACAGCTCTATCTTACATTTATTCAATTACAGGTGGTTTTATAGACTAAATTACTTGGAAAAACAGACATTCTGACTGTGAGCGGAGTCGCCTCTCCACAGATCTGACCTGTAACTTGGTCCGGTTTGGTCTCCATGAAGATTGAAAGCTTTAATACCACACTGTGAAACATTCCAAGCAGCAGCTCCATAGAAACAAACAGGTGACCGACCCCCCAACCAAAAAGTTACATAGTGCACCTTTAATAAGTTGGGTTCTCATTAGAGTTATGATGTTAAAATTCCAAACTCGATTTCAATACTAAGAAATCACGCTGAGACTGTTCTACATATATGTCTATGGCGGAATATTCAGCAGTTACCATGGAGACACAACGCACATACAACCGAAAAAGTTTTAAAACAGTGTAAACACTCAAGAATTTGACGGACCCTCCAGCAGAAAAGTTACACAATTGCGTCTATTTATGACAGATTTTTGCTTGTGTTTTATTTTCAGATGAGAAAGACAAGGCCAGACTGGAGGAGGACGAACTCCAGATGAAGAAAGTGAAAAAGAAAAAGAAGAAAAAACACAGAGAAGAAGAGAGGCACAGACGCGTTAAAATGCTCCATCGCTCCAGTCAAACCTCCTGCTCCGGTCTAACCTCTCTGTCCCCCAAAAACCTCTCCTCGCTCTCCTCCACTTCTCATCCCGCGCTCCTCTCCTCCCTCTCCCCCTTCAAATCCCCCCCTCCCGTCCTCTCCCCCGTCGACAAACCCGCAACCGACCCGGCGAAGGAAATCTGCAACTCCGTACACGATCCGGAGACCCCCCGCGCCGCGCCGATCAAAGCCCAGCGTCAGAGCTCGTATCCTGGGTTGGCGGGGTTGGAGTTCGCCCCGTACATCCATGTAGAGACCCAGCCTAACGGGGGCGCCCTGGTGGTCCACGCCTACACCTCCCAGCTCTCCTGTCTCTCCTCGGGGCAGAGGCAAAGGTTCGCCGATGAGTTTGTGACGTTGGCCTTCAGTGAGGACTCTACACAGGTAAAACACTCCGAAAAATTCCAGTTTTTTTCTCCTGCCCCCGTCCACTGGTGGAATGTAACAAAGAAAAAGTACCGTAAATTCCGGACTATTGAGCGCACCTGAATATAAGCCGCATCAACAGAATTAATAAAAAATAAATTAAATTGTACATATATAGGCCACACTGAATATAAGCCGCAGGTGTCCACGTCTTCAAGAATGTTTTGATGTCGCTCCACATACAAAATGTTCGCTGTGTAAACTTGATGATTTAGGCAGTCAAATGTTTCCTTTTTGGTCCTTCCTGTGGATCAATCCTGCCCATTGCCTTCACCTTTCACTATTTTTCAATTCCGTTGGGAAGAGAAACAGTTTGAACGGAGGTTTGCAGTCACACACATCTGATTCCCTTTTGCATTTATGGAAATATATCGCAAACAAATTTCTTGAGCCGTTTTCCGCTGTTAGGATCCAACAACCACACAATTACAATGTCTGAATCCCAAAACTAAAATATGACAATATCAGAACCAGAAACAAAAGCGATATGGTTCAAAAGACTTGAAAAGATCGACTTTGTCAATCGACGCATCCCACTCGGAAAACAAACATGGCGGTTTTGATGCTCACTTTTTGGGAAAATCCTTCCCAGCATGCATTGCGCAATGACCGGAAGTCCGAGATTCCTGATGCATCTATACGTCACAAAACCATAGACTGTGTTTATATAAATGGACAACCTGCAGGTAACCAAACAGGAAGTGAGCATGGGGGCGCTCCCGACTCCATCTGCTCTGGCTCCAGTTGGCTTTACATCGAAAAATTGTCACTTCTCTCTGTAACTGCTGCAGTGAGCCTCGTCATTTTGGTCTTAAAATGCTCGTATTAACCAGCTCTACATGATCCTGGTGTTTTTATTTCGCTATTTTGTCCGTAAATTTAAAAAAAAATCAAAAATTCATATTCCTAATACAGAACTTTGCGCCAAATCCACTGTTATAACTGCAGTCCTCGATGAGCTTCATTTGACTGGACCTGTACACCACTTCTTTACACAGTCTGTCCACTAAACCAACGGTAACAACCAGGTTCACTCCACAGTTCAGATCTGTGGAGTGGTGACCAGAAAAGTGCACCTTTAAAGTAAAAATGTTTCAGTATTTTACACATTTTACATTTTAATTTTAGAGAGAACTGCATGAACAAGGCAGACTTTCCAAAAAAAACAACAACAAATTTAAAGATTGCGCAGTTATTTTAATAAAATATCACATTATTCCTTTTTTGAAATATGTCCTCATTATCTGTATTTATTTGTTTCACCCCGACAGACGCCCGGAGGAACACGAAATGAAAACTGTGTAAATAGACGTTAATGAACACGACTGATTTCTTCTTCTCCCCAGGCGGCTCATTACGTCATGGCCATCGTTCACGGAGAGGCCGCTTATCTTCCAGACTTTTTGGAATATTTCTCCTCCAAGTTTCCGTCGGCTCCGGTCAAAATGGAAATCCTCGGAAAGAAGGACATCGAGACCACGACCATGTCCAACTTCTACTCCCAGGTGAGAGCTACACCCAGAACCTGCTGTGCGTTTATAAAGAGATTATTTCTTCATCTTCATCTGTTTTTTAATTTGATTTTATCAGCAAGTGATCGTTTTACACGTTGGGTAATTATTGCTGCATTGTTCATTATATAAATTATTCTGTGAAATCCGATGAGGTAGCGTTTGTGGTGATGTTCGGGCTGTACAAATTAAACTAGAAATCCCAGAGCTGTAGATTAATCACAGTTGAATCAAAAAAAAACCTGAAAATCTTGCATCAGCCGATCTCAAAGGCTCAAAGGTTTATCTACTGCAGTGATATAAAGCAACCAAATGTCCCTCTGTCTCCATGGGGTCTTATTCTATGTAAAAGCTGCTATAAAACCCCATACTTTAGACTTCTACAAATATGTTCTGAACTAAATGGGATTCTTGTGTTAGTTTTAGCAATTCAGAATCCAGTCTACTCTCAAATGTGAATGGAATGTGTGCAAAAATATACAGGGTGTCCCAAAAAATTTGACATAATTTTAAAAGCAGTTATCTTGAAAACTAAGTCTCCGTTCAGACTGCTGCCTGAAGTGACCCAAATCCGATTTTTTGGCCCCTATGTTCCTGTATCTGATCTTTTAATGACAGTCTGAACGACACAGATCAGATTTTTTTCAAATGTGACCCAGGACACTTGGATATGTGCTCCTGAAACCGATACATATCTGATCTTTTGACATGCGACTTCAGTCTGAACGGCCAAAGCTCATTCATCCACCTACACGTTATCAACAAGCCACAAACGTCACTATTCTGCGCTGAAGTAGGCGAAAATTGTTAATGAACTCAGTGTCACTGAAGCGAAGCACATCACCACTCACCACTCTTGGCTCCGTCTCCACATCCACACGTTCCTTTCAACGGACGTCGCTGCCGCTGCCCCACAAAACACCACGACCAAAAACCTCGTCCTTCTCCTTCTCAATCTCCTCCTTAAAACAAGTAAGTTGTTCATGTTCTGGCTCCGGTACGAGAGGAACTTTAAAATCTCCAGGTGCTCGATGCTGCGTCCATGTTTGGACAACTTCTGTAAACACAGAGACGCTCGCTGCGGTTGACGTCGTCGTGTCTCCAGTGTCACATGTGGGACACTTTTGAGACGTTTAATGTTCACACTGGAGTCACATACAAGTCACATTTAATTGGAAATGTGAACGACCTCGCAAAAACATTTCACAAAAAAAAAAAAAATCTGAATTGAGCGTTAAGCCCTGCAGTCTGAATGTAGCCTAAGTCTAGCTCAATGAAACTGAACAGTTTAGGTGTTGAAATTCATAAGTTTATACTTTGTTTGCCAGTTGGTGAAGTTTTTCCAAATTTTGCATTGAAGGCTGCACAGTCTTGGGTGAGTGTGTGTGAGCAGATTCCAAAACGCAAAATGACTTGGAGTGAATGGCTTGGCTCAGCCTGAAAACAGAACAAAAATAAAACATTAAATATAAAATCTTGATCTGTTCCTTTACATTCTGTGAAAATTTGAGGCTGTTTCAACAAGAATTGGTGGTACGGTGGCTCAGTGGCTAGCACTCATGGCTCACAGCAAGAAGGTTCTGGGTTTCCTCCAGGTGCTCTGGTTTCCCCCATCAACCCAAAACATGCTACAGGTCTCCAAGAACAGTTGGTAGCTAAGGTCAGTTAAATACAATCGATCAATCAATCTGCCCAGGGACGACAGGTGGAAATTTGCACTGATGCTACAACCTGATACAAGCATCTCTTCTGTCAAGGTTAATGTAAAAATTGTGCTCTGTCTCTGTCTCAAATAAATAAATAAAATAAGTAAAAGTAAATTGCCAAAATTATTGGCCTGCGAAATTATACCAGTTTTTTTGGGACACCCTGTACTAGTAGTCAGGCTGGTGCCACCTTGTGCCTCCGCTCAGTTTCATTTCTCTCCAGCGACTAGGTCAAGAATCAGAATACACTAGACGGTTTGCAAGAACCCTGGAAGTGGTAGACCGCGCACCGGCCAATCAGCGAAGAGCGGTTAAGCCATGACGTCAAACTCAAGCTCCAGTCTGGGTCCCTTTTGTGATACAGCACGACTGTAAACAAAGCGGTCGAGATGGATGTAGACGATACAAACTTAGTATTTATTATTGCACCTGTAATTCGCAAGTTCACGACAGAACAGAACGACAGAAACGACAATGATCGTTGACAGACATGTTCACTCTCTGCTTTGTTTGCTGTTGCGCCGCGAATTACTTGGACACCACTGAGCGTTCCAGCATCCGGCATGGTCCTTACTAGGGATGGGCATGATTAATCGATTAATCGATAATTGATCATTAAGAATTTCATCAATTACGTTAATTTTAATCGACAAACCGAATGTAGGTTGCTGTGTGTAGTGTGACCAAACAGGTCTGTACATGTGTCTCTGCACATCAGAAGGAGCGAGACACAAACAGTCGGTCAGTCTGTAACGTACCAAAGCACAAATGTGTATTTAACGATGATTTGCACAGGAAATTCCACGCTTTCTGTTGCGTTCAGGACAAGTGTGAGTCCATGTGCACAGTGTATAAAGCAGCACATATGTTTCTGTGTCCAGTGGGAAAAAAGTTTTACCAGGTGAGAGTCGCGCTCAATGTGGATGACGAGTCCCCACCTCCCTCCCCCCGTACGGTGTCCTGGTTTTGACAAACACAAATCTGGTCACACTAACCTGTATTCACCTGAGTCATGTCTTTTAATCCAACAGAAATTGAACCGCATCAGCGCACAAGAGCTGTAGTTTTATCTTCGCTGAGTTTATGTAAATTAGTGATGCGGTTTTAAGTTTTGTTTCTGTGAGAGTTGAGCAAAACTGAATTAAAGACATTATAATCTAAAACGGGCTGATGTGGCTCTAGAGTCTTTACGGTTTATATGTCGTAAAGTTGAATTTATTTATGCAGATTAGTGCAGATAGTAATAATACTGATGATCATTTTAATATAAAAACGTTAATGATTAATCGATAATCGATCGTTAATTCTTCCAACGATCGATTAAGAAAATTTCATCGAATGCCCATCCCTAGTCCTTACATACGTCACAACCGAACAGCAGCGATTGGTTAAATAAAAAAGTACCCACCTACTGTAGAGCAAACAAATCCTAATGCTGCGAGGTCAGACGGTTTCCACAAAATGAAACCGGCTGATGAATCTGGCTACTGTATTGAACCAGGACTAAAGCAGGATTAAAGCAGGACTAAAGCAGGACTGAACAAAGACTAAAGTAAAACTGAACCAGGACTAAAGCTGGACTGAATCAGGACATCTCCAAAAATTCTAATATCATGAAAAAGTTCTGTATTTTTTGTCACAAACTTCAGAAAGTCAAGCCCATATATTATAGAGACTCGTGTCATATGAATTGAAGATTTCATACCTTTATTTCTTAAAATTTTGATGATTTCTATGCACTCAATTCTTGGTTGAACCTCCAAAAAACTTTTTCATGATTTTCAAATTTTTTGAGATAATATAAATGGACATGGACTTTTCTGGTGGAGGCTCCGTCAAGTGCTTTTCTTTGCGGAGATGCTATTGCTTTGTCTGGAATGTTTCACAGTAGGGCATTAAACCTTTCTGCCATCACGGAGACCAAACCAAACCAAGTTCCAGGTCAGATCTGTGAAGAGGCGACCCCGCTCACAGTCAGATCGTCTGTTTTTCTAGGAATTTTTGAGCTATAAAATCACCTGTAATTGAATAAATAAATGTAAAGTAGAGCTGTTTAATGTCACACTGTGGAACTTTCCGGGCAGAGCAATGACATCTCCATAGAAACAAGCAGATGACGGACTCCCCAGCAAAAAGTTTTATCATACAGTGCACCTTTAACATTGAGAACGCCTTTATTTCTTGAAATTGGATCATGAAAACCCAATATTCAGGGTCTCATAAAATTAGAATAGAATGGTGTGTGTAAATTTTTTAGGAGGAGATCAAATAAGTGACAAAAAATACAGAAAAATTTCACAATATTCTAATTTTTTTTAAGACACACAAGTGATTCCCAACAACTAATTCTAATACCGGTCGATTATAAGTAAATCCTCAGATATATTAAAGTAGTGGAGTGGTGTATTTGTAGTTGGCCACCTGTTGTAGCATCTGTCTCCGTCTGTGGACACTTCAGTTTTGGCAGTTACACTTGTTTTGTTTTTCTAAGCGAGCGATACTAATACAGAGAACCACATGAGTGAGCAGTGAGCAGGTGCAAGAATCGCTCTCCCCGGTCGCTCGTCTCATAAAAGGAATGTGAAAAATACAGTTTGTGTAACAGAGCGGACGGGCCGATGGAGGGATTTGAATGGACTTTCAGAAGCGACATGAGATGAGTCAAAATGTTGGTTAGAAATTGTTAGTGCGAAGATTTTTACTTTTTTTTTTATTAATAAATGAAATGCATGTATGTTACTTATTTAAAAATGCCCAAATTTCTGCTTTTTATTCATATTTATTTCATGTATTACTTCGCTTAAAAGTCTAAATCTGTTGTAAAAGTTCCAGAAATCATAGACATGTGGTTCAGTTTAGTCCTGGTTTAGTTCTGCTTTAGTTCTGGTTTATCCCTGGTTTAGTTCTGCTTTAGGCCTGGTTCAGTCCAGCTTTAGTCTTGGTTCCATTTTACTTTAGTCTTTGTTCAGTACAGCTTTAGTCCTGCTTTAGTTCTGGTTTAGTCCTAATTCAGTCCTGCTTGAGTCCTGGTTTAGTTTTGCTTTAGGCCTGCTGTAGTCCTGCTGTAGTCCTGGTTTAGCCCTGGTTTCATCCTGGTTTAGTCCTGGTTCAGTCCTGGTTCAGTCCAGCTTTAGTCCAGCTTTAGTCCTGGTTCAATCTAGCTTCCAGTCCTGCTGTAGTTCTGGTTCAGTCCTGGTTTAGTCCTGCTTTAGTCCTTGTTCAGTCCTGCTTTAGTTCTGGTTCAGTCCCAGTTTAGTCCTATTTTAGTCCTGGTTTAGCCTTTCTTTA